ACGAGAAGGCGGCCGACAGCCTCCGAGACGTTTTTTGACGTATGGGATTGCTCGCCAGATTTTAGAGTCGGTACGGCTTTGTTGACCATCTCGTTTGTGCAAGCACCGGTTGACGAAGTTGCGCGTGTAGCCATTTTCTCTGAAAGCCCGTCGAAGATATTGTACCTCGCCAACTTAATCTTCTGCTCCGCTGCAGTGCGTCTCAACACGCCGATAGAGCGTCCTTACGCAACTGCGTTTGGGGCTGGTTGGGTAGGTTGCTGTTAAAATGCAGTACTTTCATCGTGTTTATCGATTTCCTGAATACTTTAGTCTTTAGACCGTCAAAATCTATGCGACGGACTTTGTTTTTGATGAGATAGGCTTGACCGGAAAGCAATATGTTTTCCAAAAACTCTAAGATACATTTTCGAAAGTATGACAGCTGAGGAAGTCGTAAGTACACAAGAAATGAAATGTACACAAGAAAGTACAGGAGTACATAACCGCCAAACAAAAGAGGGAGACTGCAATGACCGTTTCTGACTTATTAGCCATCGTCATCCGGTCATACTTAGACCCGAGTTGTGCCCCACTCGGGGCTCGAACGTGCGAACTGTTTGGTCAGAGTCCGAGGCCATAGCCATTAAGCGAAGAGCTGGTTGTCTTGCCCGTCGAAGTCGGCATGCCTACCTGATGCGGATCGATTTTTCCAGCCTGGAGACTGGGATGGTCATTTCTGACTTATTAGCCGTCCTTTTCCCTGAGGCCCGAACACGTGACCTTCTTCTCATAAGTATTTCATATGATGTATTATTGAAGCTTCTGAACAACTTCACCCCGACACTATTAACTGAATCAGTTTTATATTTAGTCAGATAGTGTTGGACATATAACTTTCTTTCGTATAAACTGGAAGGCATGCATCCCAAGAAATTTGGATATTTCCTTCAACTTAAAGCACATTTCCCTCTCTAGCTCACTGCTTAATCCCTGTGTTTATAAACTACAGTTGTTCGGTTGTGCTGATCAATACCGGACGCTCTGCTCTGACATAACGACGACAGGAAAACCAGGAAAGTGCGGTAGGTTTCACGTTCCCCCCCCC